TCATATCATTATGAATTGAGTCTTGATCTGAAATTTTCGTTGCATAATGTTTGATCACTGTGATTAATGTTCACCGATGAATTAAGTGCATTGCCAAAGAAGGGTTGTAAAATAAATATTTGTTTTACAAAATAAATGCTTTTTTTATCATAGGGCTATGATGCGTATCTTGTGTGTGGTGTATATATATATTGTGTATATATATATATATATATATATATATTGTGTATATTTAGGCAGCAATTATTCATTGACGCATGTTTCATTAAATAATATAGACAAGTTCTGTCTATTTATTTTAAGTAAGTTCCTTTTATATTGTCTGATAAGCTTAATAACATTATCATTGAAAGACGAAAGGTAATCACCATATTGATACATGTTTAAATCGGCTTACATAAGTCATTGTCGAAGATGACAATTACTTTTCAATATATCAACCAATACACGGACGAAACAATAACGTTAGTCTGTTTTTGTCGCATGAAAAATTTCAAAGCAACGACTAACTCGTGTATACGAGACGCGGAAGCGAAAATCGCGTCGCAACTCATGACGTCACACATGACCACGCGAGAGTGAAAACGAGAAGTATTAAGTATGGTGAAGCCGTTGGTATAAACCAACGGCTTCTGTTATCAATTATTGGCATTTAAGAATATTTGTGGAGATTTCGTAGTTTATTTTGTTCAGGTTAGGTTTCAACTGTTTTATGTATATAGCTTCAAAATTTTTTAGTTTTTGTTTATTGTTTTCATGTTTAAGTATAGTTGTGTTTTCAACAAGGATTTTTCGGAATTGTGTATGCGGCCAGGCATGTTGTTTCAATGATAATGTTATTAACCTTATCAGACAATATGTATGGAACTTACTTAAAATAAATAGTCAAAACTTGTCTATATTATTTAATGAAACATGCATCAATATATATATATATATATATATATATATATATATATATATATATATATATACTGTAATCATTATATTTAGTAGCTACACGTGTTTGAGTAAACATCACTGTTTTTAACGGATAAATTAATGTCTAGTGGCTTTGACGTTGAATGTCTTAGTAAAGAAATTGTTCTTTTCGACAGAAATCGAACTTGTATTCGCTTAGTGCAACCTTTATATTAATAATAATACTGTATTAAAAAAAACAAAAAACAACAAAAAAAACAGCGCCCATCAATTGCTTAGTTAGAGAGCCAAAAGAGAAAAAGAAGGAATAGGGAGGGAGTGTGAAGAGACAAGAAAATTATGAAAAAGTGAAATAACCACAATATCTCCTACGAATATACACACATGCACACGCGTACGCATACACAGGCACAAACATACATACAAACACACGCACGCACACACACACACACACACAAAGAAAAAATCAGCCTAACACCAATAATAAAAGCATCCCAATTAGCACATAAATTAATTACATCAAACTTAGTATAACGGGAACGAAAAAATTGAGAAAAACAGCAGCCAGTTGCTGAAACCTCCTGACGAGTGGACTGAATGATTATAGGAAAGTTCGTCTATGAAACTCAGGAGTCAGGGGTGCAGAATATAACATCAATCAGCTAAGGACAACTTTTATTTGTATTAACCATATATATATATATATATATATATATATATATATATATATATATATATATATATATATATATATATCTGTGTGTGTGTGTGATAAACAACTATTCTATATTCATAGTATTCTATATTTTGGGTAAAAGTACTCAACATCATAGAAAATGTATAATAGTAAATATAAAATTGGACACTTGTAGTCAACGCCGAGAGACGACAATTTGTGTCATGCTTAAGTGCACTTTTCACCTATATATATCAATAAAATAAATGCAAATTTCAGTGTGTCACCGGGTTACATCTTTTCAACTTTACCTCGAGAGGCGGTAGCCGCCCAACATATCATAGCATAGACCAACCCCGACAGCAAATAAAAAACATTTCCTTTCGTTTCCGGATCCGCAATCCTGAAATTTGGAATTCCCAAGTTTTCATTACATTAGTTTTTGGCGATTTTTACGTGGTGTTTTGCGACGAATTTTTTTTGTACGATAACAATTTTTTATAATTTGGAAATAAATTTGGGAATAATCAAAATTAATTGCGAAATCCAGCGAAAGTGACCTATAAAATAAAAATAATTGTTTTTACAGAGAGTAAGGACCTAAGCACATCAAATTATTTTTTAATTAAGTAGAAGCAGAAGAATTATCGTTGAAATTTTAAAAGGTAAGCTTAAATATTAATGCAATACTTAAATGCAGTGATATATTTTGACAGAGCGGTTTTTAAGCTGGTATATATATATATGTTTTATTGAAAACAACTGACAATGTACTGCTATTAAACTTTTTCAATTTTTCTTGTGTACGAGCAAGTGTTTTCTTTTCTGGACACAGAGTGTGTAGTGTCCAAACTACACTATTACATGCCTATCCAGACGCCTTACATTACACATAACCAACCAAAGCTCTATTAGAATCTATTTAAACACACACGCAAATTTACCAGACTCCATCCGATGCTTACCAGTAGAAAATACAAACAATAACCTCATCCACATGTGGAAAAAAAAAAGATTAAAAATAATGGAAGTCTTAATACTAAAAAAGAAAAGGCTAACATTCAATGATATTAACTACGAACACGCACACAATGTGCTCACTGTCTTCGAAAAATAAAACATTCCTATAGCTCTAGAAACATACCCACAACACATACACCTTGTTAAAAAGCAAAAATAAAATCATCCTTGCTAATGGCTAAAAATATCGCCGAAAGCGCTCGGAATTACAGAACATTTGAACAGTTTCTACACACTCTGTGTCCAGAAAAGAAAACATAAAAAGCTTAATCGCAGTACTTTGTCTGTCCTCTTTAATAAAACATGTATAAATGAAGGATTTCTACCTAAATACACAATATATATATATATATATATATATATATATATATATATATATATATATATATATATGAGTATTTAGGCAACAAGATTTTAAAAAATACGTTTGTCCAATTTTTTAATGAGCTTTTCCAATTTCCGACTAAGTTGTTCTATGCCAGAATTAAAATTGGTAAAATTTCCAATATATATATATATATATATATATATATATATATATATATATATATACTTTACATCATGGTAATTATGGCCTGATAAGCCTAAAGCGAATGCGAGCTTGCTAGAAAAATCGCCGTAATAGGTTTTTAATTAGATCTCATAGAATTATTCTGCCTATATGGAAAAACATAAGCATATAGCTATTTACGAAGCTATATAGAGAGTAGCCGGTTTTCAACTCTGGCGTCAGCCTCGAGAAAAATATTCGTTCGTTTGAAAAAATGGAACGAATATTTTTTTCACGGACCTCATCATATTTATAGATATACACTAATCCTAGTTGAGTGTGGCACAAGGCGTATAGCATAAAAAAAACACCATGAAAAAAACAAAACAAAACAAAAAAGAAGACACAAAAACATTTGAACAGAAGGCTGAAGTCAAAAGCACATCTAACAGGATACTGGAAAGTGGAAGAAATACTTTTTAGTGATGAATTTGGTAGTTGTTACGTTGTAAGGTACTACTTATACTGACCATTTCTTTATCTAATTTCTCTGGGTCGCCATTTTGCTCGGTGTTGTAAGCAACGGATTCCCAATAGGAATATCTGGATCTCGTCGAATTTAGGCAATTATTTGAGCCAAAATAAACAAAACTAATTACTTTACTGAATTTCTACTTTCTGTAATAACAAAGTTCAGTTTTTGTACAAAAAATCCTTTTTAAGTTAAGAAAAGATCTGAAAAGGTGAACTTTTTGCTGATGGCACATTATTTTTCCATAGCCTTTTTTTTCAGTATTTTTTCTTTTCATGTGCCATGTCCTTTCAGGACGTAGGCGATCATAGCTTCCCACCATCTCTTGTACCTCGCAATAAATTTAGTCCCTCTGCTTTCTCCTCCAGACCACGTTCTGTCATCCACTTGCTTAAGCTCGCCAGGTATATCACGCGTTGCTTTCCCTTGTCTCTCTGTCTCTATATTCGACCTGTGTGTATCAGATTCTCCAGACCCTCCTTTCTCATTATGTGTCCCAGAAAATTCAGCTGCCTCTTCTTGATGTTAAGTATAAACCTCCTACTTGTTTGCATCCTCTCCATCGTTGCTCACACGCTCGGTCCATAATACCCTCAGCATCCTTCTGGAGAACCATATCTCCGTCGCCTCGAGTCTCTTCTTCATTTTTGAGGAGTCCGTCCAACATTCGCTGCCTCAAAAACAAATATTACCAGCAATATATTTTTGGAAAAAAAATTACCAGCAATATATTTTTGGAAAAAAATATTACCAGCAAAACGTTTTTGAAAAAAAAATATTACCAGCAATACATATTTTAAAATATTATTACCAGCTATACATTTTTGAGGAAAAAATATTACCAAAGGAAAAAAAAAGTTGTCAGCATTAAATAACCCATTGAGGTTGATATACCGTAAAACACAACAAACTAATCAGTTTATTGCAATTCCTCACATGGAATATAACACAATGGCGTTAAAAATTTTCATTAGAAAAGTTCTTTTGAGTTCTATATTTGATTTAACAGATATATAAATAAGAAGAATAAGATGATGATAAAACAAGTCACATGATCTGGAGCCAGGACTGACCCCCACACCTGCCAGAATATACCCACGTATAGGCATAATTAAGATTGATTGGTTGTTTAATTCGTTTTCTACGTTTTTTTCCATTGCAGGTTATTTAAAGCCAGAAAGTATTTTTAAGATTGTAAGATTTTTTTTATTGGAGATAATAATGATTAAAGATACAAATCTTAATAATTAAGCTGTGAGGGAAGAAGAAGTGAATTCATGCCTCCCCCAAGGTCAATTGGAACCCGGCTCTCCGATTATCAATTCCGAGCCATTATCCATTAAACCACCCACACATCCAAGCTTACAGCACCTGCTATTCCCAAGCTGTCACCCATCGATGGTACTAACCAGGCTCGACGTTGCTTAACTTCGCTAATCGTACGAGAACCAGATTTTCAACATGATGCGGCCGTACGCCCATTACACCACCAGTATATTCAAACTTAGAGCATCTGGTATTCGCAAGCGGTCACCCATCTAGATACCGACCAGGTCGACGTGGCTTAACTTCAAAGATCGTACAGAAACCGGCGTTTGTACGTGAGCAGATATGATTAAGGTTAATCTACTTCTAACTTGTTCTAAAGTACCCTATTTTACTATTAAGATCAACAACTGTTTTACTTGACTACAGTGTGTGTACAGTGTTTGAAGATATGTGATTGTGCGCTCATTCTTATGTGATAATCAATTAATGTGCTTTCTCTTTTCAGAACATCAATGGCGACCTATTAGCTAAGTCGGCATGAGATGAAACAACTTTCTGCAGTTATTGCAATACATGCAAAACACAGCGATGTTGAGATTGCACGTTTTCGTGGTGGACATTGGCTAACATTGAATTGCTCACTGAGTTCCTTAACTGTAATGGTTGGATTAACATCAACAGTTGCTTCAAGAGCGTCAATATCAATTCTTTTATTAAAATTTCATCAGAGAATGAAATGTGGAAAATTTTCTAGTATTCTGTGTTGCTTGATTTTCATTGGTTAAGCAGACTTCACGTGCATTTGACTTGTTCACATCTATCAACACAAGAGAGATCTACGTTAGGACAAACATTTAAACTTGTTTGTAATACACAGGAGCAAAACTGGCCATAACTTTGATTTTACAAATGCTACCTTAATTAAAAAAGAATATAATTCTTTTACCAACTCTAAACACATGCCGAAAATACTATATTACATCACCGACCTTTGTCAAATCCTTTCTTAAAGAATCTAACGTATATTTAATTACTAATACCACGACCGGTGTCGACGTAAAAAATATCCCCAAATCAGCATGCGGACAATCCCCAAACTTTTCTAATTTCTAAACATGGTAAACAGAAGCACTAATGCCTGCGGAATATACAGAGTGCGTAAGGTATTTGAGGACATGTTATTGTTCGCCTGCAGTTATGTGATAATTAATGTGTTTTTATCTTTACATTTTTTTTAGTCGTTTTTGTGCACTCATTTCGGAAGGTGTTGGAAGCTTCCAGTGGGGATGTGCCGTAGCGTTCGGAAAGTCTCATGACACCGCAATTCGTACAGCCGGTGCGGAACATTATCGATGCGAATCCCAAAACGCCCATGAAGGTCAATGCTAGAGATCTCCAGGTGTCCAATGGCTGAATCCCTCATTGTGTTGTATGAGGATATTCTAATACGGGATGGTGGTGTAATGGATCAGATTGAGAAATCGGAGAGCCGAGTTCGAATTCCTGTCGAGCTAAGGGTTGAATAGCGAGAGAGACGTGGTCCTATAGCCTTGGTCGGCAATCCTTCTACCGCAGACAGAAACGGCAGCCTACCACGGGAAAATCTTCTGTCTATTCAGTCATAAATTACAAGAGATATGGTCGCCTAAGCGTTTATCACGTATGGCACTTAACTGATTGAATACGCGATGAGGAAAGGGCAGTTCATGCCTGCACGCACATAAGAACAACAGTTGCCCCAGGAAAAAAACGATTGCTCTACAAGTTGAAACATCCAGAAGTATCCGGCATGATCTGTTTGGGTTTTTTTCAGATGAAACAAATTTAAACCAGTTTAATTTTTTTTCAGTCATTTCACCCCAATCAAGGGGACAATGCCATTAAGACGCAACAGTTTACTGGGAGGGAAAGAGAAAGAGAAAACTTTTGCGAAGAAAAGTGAGGAAAAGGACAACAAATGAACAGGTTTCAGGAAGACAGAAAATAGCGATTGACGTTGCATTTAAATTTTTGAAGATTGTAGGTGACAGGGAAGCAAGAAATCAGAAGAGTTCCACAGGCGAGAAGTACGAGAAAAGAAACTTTTTAGAATAGGAATGGAATATAACGAACCCACCTGGAAGTGGAACTCGGATCTCCGATTATCAATTCCGGGCCATTATCCATTACACCACCCGCACATCCAAGCTTACAGTACCTGGTATTCCCAAGTGGGTACCCGTCTAGGTAACTGACCAGGCTCGACGTTGCTTAACTTCGATAATCATACGGGAACCGGTGTTTCAACGTGATATGGCCGTAAGCCTAGAATAGTATGAGAAAGGACAATAAAAGGACAGTTTTCAGGAAGGCAGAACATAGCGATTGACATTATTTACATTATTCGGACTATTGTCCTCATCTATGTCGCCATATTTATCACAACGTTTCGGCTGTTGTACGCTCCTGCCTTCTTCAGGTGGTTGGAATTTCGAACTGAACCCTGAAGAAGGCCGGAGCGTACAACGGCCGAAACGTTGTGATAAATATGGCGACAAAGATGAGGACAATAGTCTGAATAATGTAAATAATGTACATAGTACCTCATCTCAGAAATATAGACATAGCGATTGACGTTGCATTTAAATTTTTGAAGATTGTAGTTATCAGGGAAGCAAGAATTCGGAAGGGAGATTCACAGGTAAGAGCGCGAGAAAAGAAACTTTTAGAATGGAAGTGTCGATCGCATCTAACTAGTACAACAATTCAAAATGGCGAGTCCTTGTTGCCAATCTTGTAGCCCGCTTACATTTATATAGTCGAGGCACTAAATAGGAAACAGTTGCCATAAAAATATTTGTAGAAAAGACCGAGAGAAAACACGTCATGGCGGTGAGAAAGTGGCTGAAGTAAAGAGGCCAGGTCAGCATTGATTATATTCCAGATCATTCTTTGGAAAAAAGTAAGTAATAACGGAATTATTCGTTTTGTTTCAATTAATTTGCACAAGGGTGTGATTTATTCGTTCACCAATACAAACACAAACCAGAAACATTTACTAACAACCACATTACAAGAACTTTCATATATCTACCGAAATTGTAAAACAAAACCCTTCAGATAATAAATCCTTCTGATTGTATATGTATTTATAAATGTCTCACTCTTGTTGTTATGATGAATATATGTTATATTTTATTAATCAAAAACATCCGTCAAGCAAGGTCTATTAAAACAGACAATAAAGGAACAGGTTTCAGGAAGGCTGATGACGATTGACGATTACATTTAAATTTTTGAAATGGTAGAGAAGCAAGAAATCGAAAGGGAATTTCATAGGTGAAATGTGCAAGAAAAGAAACTCTTAGAGTAGAAGTGTCGGTTGCATCCAACTAGTACAACAATTCAAAATGGCGAGACCTAGTTGCCAATCTTGTAGCACGCTTACATTTATATAGTCGGGGCACTAAAGTGGAAACAGTTGCCATAAAAATATTTGTTGAAAAGACAGAGAAAAAATTTCCCCACCCAAGCACCCGGTATTCCCAAGCGGTTACCGATCTATCTAGTGAACAGGATCGACGTTGCTTAACCTTGGTGATCGTATGAGAACCGGTGTTTCAACATGATACGTCCTATTTACCCATAGCTAGGGGGAGAAGAAGAGGATTCATACCTTTCACAAGGGTATCTGCACGTAAGTGAATGTAATGGATTATAGTAGTATGATGAAAATTAAAATAAAAAATCCCATTAGGGGTCAGTACAAATAGCTTATTTCCGTCCCCAACCATTGAACAACCGAGCTGTCCGTGAGGAAAGCAGTTCTGTGCCATGTGTGATACACACTTAGGCGATCATGTATCTTTCGATACATGACTGACGAGGCTGATTTTTCCCGGAGTAGGTTGCCATTTCTTTCTGCGGTAGACCAATTTCCATCCAAGGCTATAGAACCCGGTCTATCCTGCTATTTATCGATAGCTGAGGTGGGGAGAAGAAGAGGATTCATACCTTTCCCAAGGGTATTAGCACGTAAGTGAATGTAATGGATTATAGTAGTATGATGAAAATTAAAATAAAAAATCCCATTAGGGGTCAGTACAAATAGCTTGTTTCCATTCCCAACCATTGAACAAGCAACATAGAGCTGTCCGTGAGAAAAGCAGGGTTCCATCAAATGAAGTCCAGTTCAGTCAGTTATGTGCCATGCGTGATACACGTTTAGGCAATCATGTATCTTTCGATACATGACTGACGAGGTAGATTTTTCCCACAGTAGATAGCCATTTCTTTCTGCGGTATATCAGTTGCCATCCAAAGCTATAGAACCCGGTCTGTCCTGCTATTTACCCATAGCTAGGAAGAGAAGAAAAGGATTCAGACTTTTCCCAAGGGTATTAGCACGTAAAGTGAATGTAATCGATTTGAGTGGAATTTAAATTCGGCTCTCCGATTCCTCAATCTAAGCTGATATTCATTACCTCCTCCTCTGCCCAACAATCGCTTAAAATACGGGACTTCCATCCATTCATCGTGACTGGTGTTAGTTCAGGGTGTGATCGGCGATGATGGAATCGAACTAGCCTAGAAAAATTATTTTAAAAAACAAACAAACAAAACTTTCCCGTTTTTACAAGAGGTCCAGTTAATTTAGGCAGTTACAATATTGATCAGTTTACACAGTTCGAACCGATTGAGATCATTGTAAACACAACTCCGGTTTCGTTAATTAAATCTGAATTGACCAGAAAGTATATCCACCTGCGGTACTAAAGCATCAATAAAATACGATCTCATGATAGCTTGAGTATAAATCGGTCAACAAAGACATCAGGTATTCATCATTTAACTGAATCAGCTGAACACTCGACGAAGTGAGTTTCTCGTCTGAAAGCGATTGTCTTTTCTTTCATTCTTAGCCGCATTTAACAAAACGAAACTTACAACCGATACACGCTGAGAAATATCGTCTGCCTGTTCCAATTCGTATAGTTAAATCAATTTCTCAGATAGGTGCAAATGTTTTCAGTTTTTATTATTTTTGTCGAAGCGGCGAAAGTGAGGCGAGCGAAACACGAGTATTTATAAATTCTTGCATGTATTTTTAAGCTTCATTTTGATGTCTGTTAACATCTTATGCAAGCCTGAACTACAGATTAAAGAAATCTTCAAAGATATGTAACGTAACACGCCGCGAATGTTACAGCCGATAGATAAAGGAGGATTTTTTCTATTTTGCAGCCATATTTTTCCAGTTTTTCATTATGTCGATTTACTCAGCGTAGCGGCACAACGGTAAAAGTATGGAGCACCCAGTGAGGGTCGAACTTACTACTCAGTCGTAAATGACTTAGCTAGACAGGCTTGCTAACTTCGAAGTGCCCCAGTTTTACATTATACATAGACTATAAACCGAATTCTGAATTAGAACCAACAGACTTGCTTCAAGTTTAACGGTTAAGTTTTTTTTTCAAAAATCAAATATTAACGTTACTCAGAAAAAAATATTATCAAAAAATCATTAATGGCTTTAAATTGAAATATGAAAATATAGTTTAGCTGTTATAGTCATTGAAATGTCTCACCGAAAGATCTTAAAAGGGTTAATTGAACTTGCATTGCTGTAAGGCCCTCTATGGCCGAAACTGGTACGAAAGTCGTTTAAAAGGTTCTAAGTCACACCAGAAAGAAGAGCCAGAGCTGAACATTTTTGTTATGGCAAAACACTACCACTTCTTACATCACTAGAATAATTAATTTAGATTTCTGTCTTAATTTTTGTGATGGTGAAACCCATACAAAGCTGAGAGGTGTGCGACAAATCTAAAAATGAACAAAACAGGGGCCCTGGCAGTCATAAGGTCTAGAATTTGGAATCATACATGTTACTCTCCATTGAAAAGGAATTGTTAGATGAAATCGACGCAGAAGAAATTATCGGCAGATTTGCACAATCATCTAGTGATCACAAACGATTGCTCTTAATGTAGTGGACTGCATGCAAGGCTCTATTGTACTTTTGAATTGTCTGTTAATGTGTAAATCGTGCAGTAAAATATTTAGAAATATCAGCCAATTACTTAAAATGAGAATAAATAAATAAAAAATTTAATTTTAACATTCTGTATTTACATTTGGTATCTACTGCCATTAATAAGTACAGTATATGCACATATGGAATTTAAACGTTGCGTGTTGGCGTATGATAGGGGGAGTGTTCATATATAAACAATTAAAAAGAAAATATGCCAAAAGCTTGTGTTTCTATTCCCGTTTTTATATAAACACGGTGGTATAATGGATAGCGGCTTGGATTGAGGAATCGGAGAGCTGAGTTCGAATTCCAGTCAAATCTATTACATTCACTTATGTACTATTTCTCTTAGGAAAGGTATGAATCCTTTCCCCCCCAGCTATGCGTAAATAGCAGGACAGACCGGGTTCTATAGCCTTGGATGGCAATTGGTCTACCACAGAAAGAAATGGCAACCTACTGCGGGAAAAATCTGCCGCGTCAGTCATGTATCGAAAGATACATGATCGCCCATACGTGTATCACGCATGGCATATAACTGATAGTTAAACAAAATTCTCAAAGTCTCTTCAGTATCTCCGATTTCTTTTTGGTCCAGAATTTAGGGTAAGTAAGTATAAGAATCGTTATAATAGTTGAGCTCAAATCAGCGTTGTGCAGATTTGGAACGACCAAAGAAATGTTTGTACTTACTTCATCATTGGAAGGTTTAAGCATGGTTATGTTATGTCCATTTTCTTTTTCTTGGTACAAAAATGTCAGAGTAAGGATAAGCATTGTTTACTGGTCGAGCCTTGCAAAGAGTTGGAACAACCAACAAAAAGTTTATACTTATTTCACCATTGGAGGTTTTGGAAGACACTTGCGAACGCCATGCATCTGAAAATGGAAAAGGGAATTCAGTCATTAGTGGAACGGTGTTATAGCATACGTACGGACGATAATTGGTATGTCCTTATTCGCATATATACAGATAATTGGTATGTCCTCATTCACGTGTAATAGTCTGCAATTGGAGATTCGTCTCCAACTGTGCTGGTCAAACTCTCTGTCTCTGAGCAGAGAGGATACCCAGAGAAGGCTATGTCGAAGGACAGAGTCTCGTCTCGGGAAACAGCTAACCGATCCCGTTTTATACGGGGTCCACTGGGAATTTTTTGGCCGATCCTACAGGCTCGGATACCCCACATTAATATTCGGCCTTGTGCCACATCTGATCGCGTGGGGCGGTTGGTAGATAACCTGCAGTTGGAGATTCATTGTGGAATTCACTTGACTCACTTCTA